TCTTGGCACCACGTGAGCAAAAAAGAAAAAAGCCGAAATGGCGTTGTGGCTCAAGTGGTAGAGCGCTAGCCTTGAGCTGAAGAGCTGAGGGACAGCGCCCAGGCCCAGAGTTCAGGCCCCACGACCAGACCCCCCTCCCAAAAAAAGAGGTTTTAAGGCCAGACCTATGCTATACCCTATCTCAAAAGGGGGAAGAATTATGAGAGTACTAGACAAATTTAAAGCTATAAAGAGATGTTTTCTTTTTAAGACCAGAATGGCTTTCCTTGCTTCTAAAGAACTGGATGGAATAGAAGAAAAGCAAACGCCTGGCTTCGTGAGCTGCTCACCACAGCCCCCAGCACAGACCAGACTCCTGGGGGCAATAACCCGACTCTGGCCCCTGGGACTGGTACTAGCCAACTCAGGTACAGGTATGCGAGGCTTTCAGAGGAAGTTAGTGGTCTGTGCCTGCCTCCAGCTTCCCTCAAGCAGCCCCAGTAATTACAACATCCAGACCGCACAACAAGACCAAGCTGGCGTCACATCCATCCGAGCACTGCCTCAGGTATGGTATCTGATGGAATGGTGGTCACCTGATGCCATAAGTACAGTACTACCCCACCATAGTTCCAGGTTGTCCACACCTCTCTAGAGAAGGCAGGCAACAAAGCTCGGGTGCTCATGGGGGCACAAGACTAAGCTGGGTTATAGCCCCTCCCTGACTCTGCTGTGTAAGCCAGAAGCCTGCCCCACCAACAGCTGTAGGAGTAGTTTATTTCCACTGTTACAACTGGGAACTAGGGACTTAGTAGAACCTTTGCTTTAAAAAAAAACAAAAACACAAACCCGCCTGTAAGTGTTTTGGCTCTGTAGCACAGCAGCAGGCTATGGCAAGCAGGCTGTTCAGCCTATCTTCATGGGCCAGACAGGTGGGCATGAGGCAGCTCCCCTTGCAGGATGACAAGTGAAAGCAGAATGGCACTAACAACTCTGGGAACATACGCCTTTTTAAAAGCCCTACTTTGATAAAAAATGTGTGTGTATGGTGATCATTTGTGACTTCAGATGACACCAAATCTATCATCAGACTTTTCTCAAGATTTTTCCTTGATTTTTTTTTTTTCAACTGAGGAACTGACAAGTAACTAAGTCAGTCATCTAAGTCCTTTGCATTTCTATAAGTAGCTGGGGCAGGACAGACAACAGGAAGTCACTGTAGCTGAGGGAAGGTGATGGTGTTACATGTGGAGGCAGCCCCTCAGGATATGAGCTCTGTCCCTGTCCCATTCACTGGCTAATTGGTAATGGCACATCACCTCAGAGCCTCCTTGCCATACTCATCCTAGTATTGGTGTACAGTGAGTGAAAGTGACAAGGCAGAAGAAAACAATTTCTACACTAGAGGATAAGATCTCACGTGAAAGTGCATAGGCTAGGAAAAGTGTAAGTGTTCTGATCTTCTAGCGGTGAGCTGGTGTCTCATTCTGAATGGATGTGAAACTTGATACCTTACTACTACTTTGGACTGCCACTGTTTTAGAGTCAGAAAAATCACATTAACTGAGCATTTGTGCCCATAATCTTAGCTAGTCAAGAGGGTAAGATCTTCAGATCATGATTCACAGTTAGCCTAAGCTGGGAAAGTCCATGAGACTCTTAATTAGCTACAGTTACACTTACAGTTTTTTGCTAAAGTAGTAGAATGCCAGCCTTGAGCATAAAAACTAAGAGACAGAGCCCAGGCCCCAAGTTCTAGCCCTCGTACCAAAAAAGGAAGAGAGGGAGAGGGAACGTGAACTCAGTCCTAGCTAGTACCTGCCCACACCTCACATTTCTAACATAGGTTCTGAGAAGTACCCTTCATTCTTCACACCTCTCCTTTTTTCTCTCTAGGGCTCGGTAAAGTTTCACTGCAGAAAGTCTCCGCTTCAATATGCTGATACCTGCCCCGAACCTTCACCCTGTACTGTTTCAGGTTTTAATCAGATTCTGCTAGAAAGACACAAGTTGATCCATGGGTGACCTCTTCTCACCTACCTGGCTAAGTGATCTTTAATGCCTTTGTTTCTATAAGGCCTTTTCCTGCCAGCAGCCTTGCCAAAGACACTTAATTAGCATACAAGTGCCAAACAATTCTCAAGGCAATTCCAAATGCACACATACAACCAAGAGATCCAGCCTGCAAACCAGGGCTCCATGGCCAGTGTACCAGCCCACCAAGCACTGGTAGAGTGCCAGGGTAGGTACTTATCACATCAGGATTAGGTCCACAGAGACCTTCCCATTTCACTACCTTCATGGATCAAACTCAGCTGGAGACTCTCCATACTTGAGTGTTACCTGTTACTACAGCAGGGGTAGTCACCCACAAGCACTTTAAAAGAAAACAGGCAGAGTCAACCTACAATTGGCTCTAAAATCTTAGCTGAGGAAAACTTGACATTTAGTTAGGGGGGGAATATTTAATAAGTTCTTGATTTATTTAATATGATTTCAAAGAATTAGATTAGGAACCAAGTACAATGCAATATACACGAGAACCACATCTTCCATTTAGTTTAGTAACACTGATCCAGTTTTTAACTGAACCTGGATGAAAACTTGATATTTATGTGTATCCAAACTCTATAAAAAATAAAATATAAAACCAACCTTATTTTGAATATCAAACACCTTCTTCATAAAGGCTCAACACCTTGAGCATCTATGGATCTGAAGATATGAATCTGTCTCAGAGATATGTGGATGAAGGCAAAGGCTCAGGAACCCAGCAGCCAGGCTGCCTAGGGAACCCCTACCCAGCTCCAGGGAGGAGCCAACAAGTACTGGGAGTGAGGCATATGCTTGGGCAAGGAATACAGGACTTCATTTTATGAATCCTCATTCTGGGACGGCTCCACAATGCTTAAACAGCAGTCTGCAAACTCCACAAACAAAGGCTCTTGCATATAGGTTTTCATCAGCTTTGCTTTGTTGTCCCCCTGATCGAGGTTGACCATCAGGTGTCTAAGGTGTGGATTGGTCAATAAGCTTCTTAAAGTTGCAGATTCCCCTTAAAAAGAAAAAAGTCAAAGTTCAGATAGAATCCCTAGAGATGTCTAAAAGCTAATGTTTCTAATATAACAAACTATTAAGAAGTTGTATCCCCTTAACCTTTGTTTGGAACAGATAGACTTTTTCCTTAATATAGCTTAAGTAATACAGTGTAACACATTTACACAGTAAACTCAAGAGATCATGTTAAAGTATATGCACATAGGTTATATGCAAATAGAGCACTATTTTATAAGCAACTTGAATATGCTGGGGTTGGGGAGTGGATCCTGGAATCTCTTGCAGGGATTCCAAATACCACGAAGCTAACAACTCACAATCACACTGTTTCACTGAGAACTATGTAAAATCAGTATAGTAATATTTTCAAGTTAGCAACAGAATTTTTCCAAGTTTTTTGATGGTCATGCCAGGGTTTGAACTGAGCTTTGCACTTGCAAATCAGGTGCTCTTACTGTAAGTTTGAGCCATGCCTCCAGTCCTTACAAGATTTCGACTTCTTAGATCTTTTTAATTTTATGCTATTTCAGCTATTAAAAAACAAACAAGGACTGGAAAGGTGGCTCAGTGGTAGAGTGCTTGTCTTCTTGCATGCATGAGGCCCTGGGTTCGATTCCTCAGCACCACATAAGCAGAAAAGCTGGAAGTGGCGCTGTGGCTCAAGTTGTAGAGTGCTAGCTTTAAGCTGAAGAGCTGAGGGACAGTGCCCAGGCCCAAAGTTCAGGCCCCACCACTGAGCAAAAAAACAAAAAAGAACCACCTCAGCCCAAATACTCAAAATAGAACTGTTTTTGTTAAGTGTAGCTTTTGTTTCTAGATGTGCATAAAGGTTCTCTGTGATGAAGCATAGTTATACCAAGTACTCTGATGTCCAAGCTGGCCATCCAGTACGCAGGGTGAATGAACACCAATACCTGTCTGGGGCCTTTTAGTTAGTATTTTTTTCACTTCTGTATAATTACTACCAGGGGACTAAGTACAAACCATAAACTTTCAGCATGACATGGAAGAATAAAAATGAAATGAGCTTTACAACTACATTAGCTCATTTGCATGTGTGTGTGTGTATCTATATACACATATATATGTGTGTATATCAGATATATAGCTATATAGATATAAATATATATAAAAAGACTAAGGCAAGAATTAAATAAGATTGGATACTACAAAAATATGTGGATTTTTATTGGTTTGTTTTTTGTACAAGGCCTAGGGCTTGAAATTAGAGCCTGTATACTGTCCCTGAGCTTTTGTGCTCAAGGCTAGTTCTTCACACACTTGAGGCACAGCTCCCTTTTCAGTTTTTGTGGTTAATTGGAGAGAAGAGTCTCATGGACTTTTCCTGCCAGGCTGGCTTTAAACTATGATCCTCAGATCTTGGCCTCTTGAATAGCTAAGATTATAGGCGTGAGCCACCAGTGCTGGGCTACTTCTCCCCTAAAAAAAGTCAATCATGTGGTTACCAGCCTACAATTAGAGCTAGCCAGTAAATGAAGCACTGGATATAGGAAAAATATGTCTCTACCTTACAGATTTGTGTGAGAGAAGTAAATTACCATAAAATGGGGAGTAAGTATATATATTACCCATAAGTCCAAGGTACTAAGAAGCCAGAAAAATTGCCTAATTCTCAGAAGCAATAAATCAAGAATAGCTTAGCTAAGAACATTTGAATCACATCTGTAAGGTAAGTAGGATTCCAGGAAGAAGGAATGGGGGTGTTAAGGGCAGACTGGGAAGGGAGGAAACTTAAATGTTTATAAAACTGTGTGGCTAGAGATGAAGGGCACTGCATGGCACATCAAATATTTAAGACGTTTTTGAAAATCATTTGAGGAAAAAAAGGAATTGGGGCTAGATATATAGCTTTGTAGAGCATGCATGAATCCCTGGACTGGATCGTCAGCATTAGGGACAAGGAATGGCAATGACGATGCATCTCAAATGGTAGAGTACAAGCTGTGAGTAAAAAAAAACACAAGGTCCCATGTTCATGTCCCAGTACTGGTTCCAAGAAAAAAAGCACAGCATTCACTTACCTAAATTATTCAAGCTCTGTAAAGAAACTCTGTCTTCTTCCTCATCACTATTGAGAAAATCAGCTAGAGAGTCATCATCTGAAGAACACAAGGCACAAACAACTGTTCAGGATTCTGACTTTTTTGTTGTTGGTCATGGGGCTTGAACTCAGGGCCTGGTCCTGTTCCTGAGCTTGCTCAAGGCTAGTACTGTACCACTTTGAGCCACAGCTCTCTATCTCATTTTCTGGTAGTTAACTGGAGATAAGTCTCATGGACTTTTCTGTCCAGGGTGGCTCTGAACTCCAATTCTCAGATCTTAGCCTCCTGAGTAGCTAGGATTACAGACCTGAGCCACTGGTGTCTGGGTTGGACTCTTGATTTTATAGTTATGAAAGAAAAAGTAACATCTGCTCTGAAATTCACAGTCACAGTAATATTTTCTTGTACAAATGGAAGTGGCAATAATTGGTGATTGGGCTGGGGCTCTAGCTTCTAGCTAGTCAACAGGTTGAGATCTGAGGATCATGGTTCAAAGCCAGCCTGGGCAGATTAGTCCATGAGCCTCTTATGTCCAACTAACCACTAAAAAGCTTAAGTAGAGAGCTGTGGCTCCAGAAGTAGAGCACTAGCCTTGAGTAAAAAAAGTTAAGGGAGCATGCTCTAGTTCTGAATTTAAGTCTTAGTATGAGCACTAAATGCTTTATTCTAGTGTTCACACTTCCCATTTCCCTGCAGTCTTTAGGATGGAGCCTGGTATTACAGGTCTTATCATCCTTCCTCCTAGCTCCTTGGTGATGGGCCAGTGATGGGCTAGATGCTCTATAAAAACCTGACAAATCAAATCCACTGTGCTTTCAGCAAAGACAGAAAATGACTGGCACTGTCTGAACCTACCCAGGAAGTTTCCCCAAGGACAAATAAACCATCTTTAGTACCTCTTTAGTGATACCAGAGGGACTGCTTGCAAAGCCTGGCACAATGCAGGATACCAGAAGGTACTGGGGAAACTGAAAGCATAGATGCATGGGTGGAGGAATGCATGGATGGAATGGGACAGCAGCCCACTAGATCAGCCAGGCCTCAGCAGGGAAACCCAAAGTGAGGACTAAAAGGCTCCTGCCACAGGGCCCACTGCAAACCCACAGGCCATGTCCATGGCTTCCTCTCCCTCTGCCTCCTGTATGCTTCCTCTCCACACTGGAGGCTTCAAGCTGCACTCACCACCACCAAAGAAAACTCATGCCATACTCTTGAGATGGAAGCTGCCACTTACAAATAAAGCCATCCCTATCTACTTGCCCAGCCCACCTTCTTTCCTCCCTCTTATTCTCCGAAACATCCTTGAGTTTTGTGTGGTTCAAAGCAACTACCCACCTTTGTTGTCCTCAGGCTTTGTGGTTTTTACAGGAGCTGCTGATCTTTTCTCAATGGGACGAGTTTCAGGGCTGCACTGCTCTGAAATGGACACAAATCTCAGGCATGAATCCCTCCTTTCCTGCCCCTCCCCACCAAGCCAAAGGGAAGGTTATATATCAGGTAAAAATGGATGGGAAATAGGGAGAGATCAAAGGGACAGAAAAAGGAAAACCATGAGCAACAGTTACCCTGAAAGAGGGTGAGGAACTGGGACTTCGTTCCCCACCCTCCCTCTTTTGCCTAATCTCATAGACTTTTCATTATGGATTAAGTGGCACATGGACTTCACGTGGTCTTTTCAGCACATTGCAGGCTGGAGGCATAGTTCAAATGGCAGAGCACTAGCCCAGCAAGCAATCTTGGCAAGTTCAAGGTACTGAGTTCAAGCCTCAGTACTGGCAAAATAATAATAATAATAAAGTCAGGTGCCAGTGGCTCACACCACTACTTTGCTACTCAGGAGGCTGAGATCTGAGGATGGTGGAGCCAGCCTGGGCAGGAAAATCCATGAGACTCTTACCTTCAATTAACCACCAAAAAACCAGGGTTGGAACTGTGGCTCAAGTAGTAGAGCACTCATATTGAGCTGAAGAGCTGAGGGACAGTGCCCAGGCCCAGAGTTCAAGCCCCACAACTGACCAGAAAAAAAAAAAAGTAATAATAAACTCAGAGATCAGACACCACATTTGTATGCACTATGCCAACTGAAAGGGCATAGAGGGGCTTGGATCATAAGAGGAAGAAGCCAGTGCTAAAGAATGTCCCCACTAGGGCCTCAACAAGAACATGATTAAGTACTCAGATCTTTACTGGCGCATCATAGTCTCATAGTCTCACACATCACAGGATCTGAATTTTTAGCCCAAGCACCCATTGTTGATAGTACCACCATGGGACAACATCAACACTGTGATAGTCTCCCTAGGGAACACTGCTCTCTATGCCAGTGAGCCATGGGGATTTTGAACTCAGGGCCTCAGGTTCTTGCTTAGCATTTCTGATCAAGACTTATACTCTACCACTTGAGTTGCACCATCACCTCTGGCATTTTGATAGTTAATTGGAGATAAGAGTCTCAAAGACTTTTCTGCGCAGGCTGGCTTCAAACTATAATTCCCAGATTTCAGCCTTCTGAGTAGCTAGGATTATAGGTATGACCCACCAGCATACATTCAGGTGGAGTTTTCAACAAGGGATGGAATAGCTCAAATTTGCATTTTGAGAAAAATCACCCCAGCAGCAACAGAGGAACTTGATGCTAGAAGAGTTACTGAAGGAACCCCACAGGGCTGCAGGTAAGAGGAAAATTGTTCAGGACCACAGATTCCCAACTGTTTCTAACAAATCAGCTCCATTTCTTTCCTATCCTGAGCTGTAAGATTACTTCTGAAAATGCTTCAAAGAGATCTGAAAAACCAGACTAAAGGATGAAACTGAAGGCAAAAACAATCACAAGGGGGCTGGGAAGGTGGCTCAGTGGTAGAGTGCTTGCCTTGCATGCATGAGGCCCTGGGTTCAATTCCTCGGCACCACGTAAGCAAAAAGAAAAAAAGCCGGAAGTGGAGCTGTGGCTCAAGTGGTAGAGCTCTAGCCTTGAGCTAAAGAGCTGAGGGACAGTGCTCAGGCCCAGAGTTCAGGCCCCACGACCGGACCCCCCAAAAAAAAAATCACAAAGGAACTTTGAAACAGCAGTCAACGGAGAGCACATGATATAACAAATAGGAACAAGACAGATTGGAGAAAGACTCCAACCGCAGACATGACACAATTAGCTGGGAGTATCCTGTGAAAAGGGGACAATGGTCTAGTCAGGGCAGTTCCAACAAGCTGCCAGTGACTAAGTACAAAGCAATGCACCAGATACCTAGTGAGATACATAGGTCTCACTGAAACGTTACAGACATAAGCTGTTTAATTTCACTTACAAAGAGAGTTAAGTTTTCCTGTAATAAAGAAACTGGTCCAGCCAGATACCCATGGCACTCACCTGTAGCTAGCTACTCAGGAGGATGAGACCTGGAGGATCAAGGATCAAAGCCAACCTGGGCAGAAAAGTCTGCAAGTCTCCATCTCCAATTAACTAGTGAAAAGCCAGACTGGAGTCATGATTAAGTAGTAGAGCTCCAGCTGTGAGCAAGAGAACTAGGTCCCAAGTTCAAAATCCAGTACCAACCCACATACATACACACAAAGACAAGTGGAAGATACCACTTGAGCCACAGCACCACTTCTGTTTTTTTCTGCTTATATGGTGCTGAGGAATCGAACCCAGGGCCTCATGCATGCAAGGCAAGCACTCTACCACTGAGCCACTTTCCCAGCGCAAGTGGAAGATTCTATACTCCCATTTCCTGAATGGGAAGCAGGAAATGTTTTTCTATTTCGCCTATTATATCTAGCTGAAAGTTTTTTTTTAAAGACAAATGGAAAGTGTCTAGCAAATGAACAGATATGACCATTAGAAATTCTTGCAATAGCCAAGTGCTGGTGGCTCATGCCTGTAATCCTAGCTACTCAGTAGGCTAAGATCTGAGGATTGCGGTTCAAAGCCAGCGGAAACTCCATGAGACTCTGATCTCCAATAAACCACTCAGAAAACTGGAAATAGTGCTGTGGCTCAAGTGGTAGAGTGTTTGCCTTGAGCTGAAGAGTTGAGGGATAGTGCCCAGGCCCAGAGTTCAAGCCCCACAACGAAAAGAAAAGAGGAGAGGAGAGGAAAGGAAAGGAAAGAAGGAAGGAAGGAAAAGGAAGAAAGAAGGAAAGAAATTCTTGTAATATTCTGTGTGCTGAAGACCAAACCCAGTGATTCCCACATGCTAGACAAGTGCTTTACCACTGACCTACCTTCCCAGCTGGCTAATAATAAGAACAGAGGCCAGGTGCTGGTGGCTCACACCTGTAATCCTAGGACTCAGGAGACTGTGATTTGAGGAGTACAGTTTGAAGCCAGCCCCAGCATGAGACTCTTATCTCCAATGAGCCATCAGAAAACTGAAATGGAACTGTGGCTCAACGTGGTAGAATGACAGCCTTGAGCAAAAAGCTCAGGGACAGGGCCCAGGCCTTGAGTTCACGCTCCAAGACCAGTTTAAAAAAAAAGTTGTGTGTGTGTGTGTGTGTGTGCACGCGCGTGCACGCACGAAATCACTTACATATAAAGAAGCAAATGAAAAAAAAATTTTCTTTTTTGTCGGTCGTGGGGCGTGAATTCTGGGCCTGGGCACTGTCCCTCAGCTCTCCAGCTATACTCTAGCACTCTACCACTTGAGCCTCAGCCCTACTTCCGGCTTTTTTTTTTGCTTATGTGGTGCTGAGGAATCAAACTGAGGGCCTCATGCGTGCAAGGCAAGCACTCTACCACTGAGCCACCTTCCCAGCCCGCATATGAAAATTTAATTTACATATGGAAACAACCTAGATGCCCCACCACAGATGAATGGATCCAAAAATTGTGGTATCTATACACAATGGAATATTATGCAGCCATTAGAAATGACAAAATAATGGCATTTGCAAGGAAATGGATGGAGCTAGAAGGAATCATGTTGAGCGAGGTAAATCAAGAACAAAGAGACAAACGGTACATGGTCTCCCTGATAAGTGGATGTTAAATCCAAAATATTAGGTGATATGACAAAACTAACAGGACTTAAGAAACAAAGAACTCCTACTCATCTGGTTGAACCACTACCAAATATCCCCATGCTGCTGATCACATATCTGGTATATAACATATGAGCACCGTTATATATTACAGACTGTGATAGACAATTTGCTCCAGGAAAGTTAGAATGAACTTGTGACGTTAAATGAGCATCATTAGTCCACAATACTGTGAATTTCCGGAAATTATGTAATCACTTAATCACAATCAAAAAAAAAAAAAGAAAAGAAAAAAATTTAATTTACAGGCACATGTCAGACTCATCAGGCATGTCAGTTTCATAATCACACATATTAAGCAGCATTTACAGATTTTAAATGTATACACAATGTATTTCTATCTTGTACTTTTTTTGGTAGTGGTTCTGGGGTTTGAACCCAGGGCTCCAAACTAGCTAGGCAATTCCTCTACCATGTCAGTCATGTCATAGCCCTTTCTTATTTATTTTTTGTTGGTCATGGGGCTTGAATTCTGGGCTTACATGCTTCTCCCTGAGCTCTTCAGCTCAAGGCTAGTGCTCTACCACTTTGAGCCACAGTACCACTTCTGGTTTTCTGGTGGTTAATTGGAGATAAGAGTCTCACAGACTTTCCTGCCCGGGTTGACTTTGAACCCTGATCCTCAGATCCTGAGTAGCTAGGATTACAGGTGTGAGCCACTGGCACCCAGCTTATTTACTTATTTTTTTAGATAGGGTCTTGTGTTTTTGCTGTGCTCCCTCCATACCTCCCTCCCATGAAGCTGGGATAACAGGAAGAAATTCACCACACCCAACTTCTTGGAAGTTGAGATGGGGTCTCCCTAACCTCCTAAGTAACAAATTACCATTATGTGTCACAGTGCTAAACCTTAAATATCAATAACTGCACCAAATATATGTATTTTCACATCACACACAAATTACTCAACTTCTTTCTTTGTGCCAGTCCTGGGACTTAAACTCAGGGCTTGGGCACTGTGGCTAAGCTTTTAGTGCTTATGTGCCCAAGGCTAGAGCTCTACCACTTGAGCCACAGTTCCACTTCCAGTTGTTTTTCTTTTTTGTTGTTATTGTTGTTTTTGTTTTGAGTGCTTCATTGGAAATAAGAGTCTCTTGGACCTTCCTGCCCAAATCCTGCCGGCAGCCTCCTGAGCTGCGATTCAAGTGGTAGAGCGCCAGCCTTGAGAGGTAAAGCTAAGGAACAGTGCTTAGATAGGCAGAGTTCACGTCCCAGTACTGGCACAAAAAAGTTATTTATCTTACAACATTTGTGGGTCCCAGAGCTTGAACTCAGGGCCTGGGCGCTGTCCCTGAGCTAGCTCAAGGCTAGCACTCTACCACTTAAGCCACAGCGCCACTCCAGGCTTTTTCTGAGTAGTTTATTGGGGATAAGAGTCTCCAGGACTTTCTTATCCGGGCTGGCTTCGAACCGTGATCCTCAGATCTCAGCTAGGATTGCAGGCGTGAGCCACCAGCGCCCCGCATTTATCTTACCACTCAGAACAATGAAGTGAGGCAAACATTTTTTCAAGAAAATGACTGTGGCCCGTGAAAAGGGTCAACCAAGGTCTAGATTGGCTTAACGCCGCGGAGCATTTTCAGACAGTGGTCTGGGGCTGCGGGGACGAAGGCGGGCTGACCACGCAAGTCTCCCGCAGGACGGGCGGGGAAAGCCGGGAAAGGCTCCGACAGGATCCCCGAGCGACGCGGCCTGGCCGAGGCCCGCCGGCGCCCAGGACGGTGGCGGGGCGTGGGGCTGCCACGCGCGAGGAGGGGCCGCGGGGCCTTACCTTTGTGCTTCTGGAAGCAGGTCACGGAGCAGCTGCAACGACAGAGACCGCGCGGGTTGCGTGAGCGCGGGAGGCTCTGCGGGGCCCGCGCGGGCCCCCCAGCCCCGGCCTAGCCTCCCCCCCGCCACCCCGCAACCCCACGAGCTCCCCACTCACTAGGGCACGCGGCAGGCCGGGCAGCGGTACTTGGGCTTCTCCAAGCAGATCACGCAGACCGCAGTGCTACACCGCAGCGAAGCCATGCCTCCGCACCACGCGCCGGGGCCGCGCGACCCGCGGCGCGCGTCAGCGCCGGCCACGCCCACTCATTTGAGTACGAAAGCAGAACCAATCAGCGCTCGGCACTGACGGACAGGCAAAAGCAATCGAGCGACAAGGCTCAGCTTTCCAGACCTCAAAAGTAGAGCACCGATACGCTCAATGTACGTCGAGTGGCTGCCGCCCAAATGTTTCGTGGGTTTTTGTTGTTTTTGTTTTTCTGATTTTTTTGTCTCTCCGTGGAAAAATGTATGTCAACCCCTCCCCTGTTCTTACGTGGTTATGTGACTTGGAGCAAATCATTGCTACGCTTCAGGTGTGTTGCCATAGGGTTTTTTCTTTTCTTTTCTTTTTTGCAGGTCCTGGGCCTTGAACTCAGAGCCTAGGCTCTGTCCCTAAGCCTGTCTCTCTGCTCTAGGCTAGAGCTCTTCCACTTGAGCCATTTCCAGCTTTTTCTGTGTATGTGATACTGAGGAACCAAACCCAGAACTTCATGCGTGCTAGGCAAGCACTCTACCACTAATCCATATTCCCAGCCCTGCCATAGGATTTTCTGAATCTTACAATAGACACTGAATTCTCCCACTCATCCAATCCTCTTACCTTTGGAAATGAAAAGTTCAGACACAAGCCAAATCAGGTGGATCATGTGGCACACAGAACCCTGACTTGCCCTTAACTGCTTTAGCCACTTTTCCAAAAGGAAAGACTTTTTGCCGGGGCCGAGGGCGGCGGGGAGGGGGGGCCACAAAGAAAATTAGCCTTCTCCCAGATAGCTTAAGCTGGTTTTGAACCAACAATCATCCTGTCTCCACCTCTTGATTACAGTATGTGTCACTATGTCCAGGGAAAGAAATGTCTTGGAGAATGGCCACTGGCAAATTAGCTCCCAACTCTGATTCCTGCACTGCCCAGGTGCTGGAAACTTACAGAGATTAGAAAATAATGGTCAAGTGGACCCATTGCAACAATGAGACTTAGAAGTCATTATGTGGAAAACGAACTTTACAACTTTGGTGGGGGGGGTGGGGAGGAGGGTTGGGTGGGGAAGGGTGGCGATTGGGGGGGAGGATGGGATGGGAAGGGGAAACAAAGGAGGAGACTATAATGCTTGTTGAGAAATGTACTCATTGTCTTGCCCATGTAATTGTAACCCCTCTGTACAGTATTTTCACAAAAAAAAAAAAGTCAAACTGATCCGCTTAAGAACATTAAAAAAAAATAAGAAGATAATGGTCAGAGCTGGAAAGGTAGCTTAGTGGTAGAGTGCTTGCCTAGCATGCATGAAGCCCTGGGTTCGATTCCTCAGTACCACATAAACAGAAAAAGCTGAAGTAGTGCTGTGACTCAAGTAGTAGAGCAGTAGCCTTGAACACAAAGAGGCTCATGGGCAGGGCCCAGACACTAGGTTCAAGCCTCAGGACCAGCAAAAGAGGGAGGAGGAGGAGGAGGTGGAGGAGGAGGAGAAAATAATGCCCATGTACAGTGATTTACAACGTAATCCTAGCTATTCAGAGAATATACATACATTATGTGAATATGTATAGATAGATAGATTAGATAGATAGATAGATATACAAGTATGTGAATAGCAGAGAATTATCTCTTCATCTTTTGTTCACCACTGTGGTTACTATGCCTGCTTGGGCTTCTCACCATGACTTCTCACAAGACTTTCAGAATCAAGTAGTTTCTTTTTCTTTCTTTTTTTTTTTTTTTGGTCGGTCATGGGGCTTGAACACTGGGCCTGGGCGCTGTCCCTCAGCTCTTCAGCTCAAGGCGAGCGCTCTACCACTTGAGCTACAGTGCCACTTCCGGTTTTCTGGTGGTTTATTGGAGATAGGAGTCTCACAGTCTCTCCTGCCCAGGCTGGCTTTGAACCTCCATCCTCAGATCTCAGCCTCCTGAGTAGCTAGGATTACAGGCGTGAGCCACCAGCACCCGGCTCAAGTAGTTTCTAGCCAAGAAGCAAAAGCAAAATGGCCCCATTCCCCAGTGGATTCTATTGAAAACTAGTAACAAAATCAGGTACAACTCCAGAGAAGACACTGGAGGAGAGCCAAGCTAGTTCTGTAAAGAATTGCATCAGATGTCCACATATTTATGCCCTACTATGAACCAATCAAACTGAAACGTCCGTATTGCCTGGACTGACAGTTGGGCACTTTTTGCTAATCCTGGGGCTTGAATTCAGGGCTTGGGCATTGTCTCTTAGCCCCTCTGTGCTCAAGGCTAGCACTCTACCACCTGAGCCACAGCGCCACTTCCGGCTTTTTCTGTTTATGTGGTACTGAGGAATCAAACCCAGGGCTTCATACTTGTTAGGCAAGCACTCTACTACTAAGCCACATTCCCAGCCCAGGCATTTTTTAAACTGGTTTTTCTTTGGTTACTTTAAGAATGGGAACAGTAATAAATGTGTGAAACCTTACATTTGAAAAAAAGAAAAAGAAGGAAGGAAGGAAGAAAGAAAGACGAGAACTAGAGGATGGAGATTTGAGGCCAGCAGAGCAAAAAGTCGATGAAACCCTATCTCAATCTATAAACCATCAGCCATAGACAGGAGGATTCTGGTCTACAGCTTTGGGCTAAAACATCGACTTTACCTGAAAAATAACTAAAGCTAAAAAAGGTGGTTGGGAAGCATATCTCAAGTGACCAAGCACTTGTCTAGCAAGAACAAAGCAAAGCGCTTTTTTTCCAAGTACAGGAAAAGGGGGCAGTCATTTTTTTTCTTTTTTCTTTTTTTTCTTTTCTTTTCTTTTTTCTTTCTTTTTTGTCAGTCAAGGGGCTTGAACTCAGGGCCTGGGTTCTATCCCTGAGCTCTTTTGCTCAAAGCCAGCACTCTACCACCTAGAGCTACAGTGCCACCTCCTGGTTTCTGGTGATTAATTAGAAATAAGAGTTTCACAGACTTTCTTGCCTAGGCTAGCTTGAAACCATTATCCCCAGATCTCAGCCTCCTGAGTAGTTAGGAATACAGGCATGAGCCACCAGCGTCCAGTGGGGAGTTCATTCTTAGGATGGTATTGTGCTAGCATGACATTGGCCTCATCCCAGTCCCAACCTCGATGTAGCAGATTGACCAGAGAATATGTGAGTGACCTCCTACCGAAAGATGGGACCCATGAACCCAGACAGATGGGCTATGATGAGACTTGAATGCCATCAAACTTTAGGGGTAGATAATCATACATTAAGAGCCCTGGGAGTGGCCCTGCCTAACCATGGCTCCTGCCCTGCTTTTGTTTGGCCCTCCAGGCCTTAAATCATCCTCACTCCCAAGAATCTTCCCTTTAGTGTCATATGTTCTGATTCAATAAAGGTGCTTTACTAAGATATCCAGGTGTGGGAATGGATCTGCTACAATGTTCAGTGGCTGGAGTCCTCCCTCAATCTCTTTGCTGGCTTATGTGACTTAGAGGTAGTTGGTTACTCGCGCTGTTAAAATGTATGTTAGGCCTACTTTTTTGTGCTATTATAAAAGATTTATAAAACACTTTTTGTGGTTTACACTTTTTTTTAATTTTATTTATTTATTTTTTTATTGTGAAAATACCATACAGAGGGGTTACAATTACATGGGCAAGATAATGAGTACATTTCTTATCAAGCATTGTTGCCTCCTCCTTTGTTTCCCCTTCAAAACGCTTTCATATTTTATTTTTATTTTTGTCATTTGTGGGGCTTGAACTCTGGGCCTGGGTGCTGTCCCTCAACTCTTCAGCTCAAGGCAAGCACTTTACCACTTGAGCTACAGCACTACTTTCGGTTTTCTGGTAGTTTATTGGAGATAAAAGTCACATGGCCTTTCCTGCTGAGCTGGCTTTGAACCATGATCCTCAGATCTCAGCCTCCTTAGTAGCAAATATTACAGGCATGAGCCAGGGGCACCTGGAGAAAGCACTTTTATTGTGCTAGGCGCTAGTGGCTCAAAGTGGTAGAGCACTAGCCTGAGTACAAATGCTCAGGACAGAGCCCAACTCCTGAGTTTAAGCCTCAAGTAGCGCACGTGCACACACACACACACACATTTTATAATCAGAATTGCTACAAAGTGACACACACCTGTAATCTCACCTATCTAAAAAGCAGAAGATATCTTTTCCATCTCATTGTAACCCCTCTCTACAGTATTTTCACAATAAAAAAAATAAAAATGAAAAGCAGAAGAATATTGGTAATTGAAGAACAGCCCAGGAAAAATTAGCTTGGCTTTTTTTATACGCGTGTCAGTTGTCGGGCCTGAACTCTGGGCCTGGGTGCTGTCCCTCAGCTCTTCAGCTCAAGTATAGTGCTCTACCACTTGAGCCACAGCACCACTTCTGGCCTTTTCTGCTCATGTGGTGTTGAGGAATGGAACCCAGGGCCTCAGGCATGCAAGGCAAGCACTCTACCACAGAGCCTAGCCCCTAGCTTGGCTTTATTTCAAAAACAAAACACAGAAATTAAAGTGCTGTGGGTTGGAGGAGCTAGTTCAAGAGGAAGAGCACTTACCTACCCAAGGTTCAATTTCAAGTACTGCAGGAGGAAGGAGGAGGAGGGGGAGGAGGAAGACAAAGAAGGAGGAGGAAGAAGAAAAGCTGGACAGTGGTGGCTCGTGTCTATAATCCTAGCTACCCAGCTGGCTAAGATCTAAGAACTGTGGTTCGAAGTCAGCCCAGGCAGGAAACTCTGTGAGACTCTTATCGCCAATAACTACTCAAAATAGCTGGAAGTGGTGCTGTGACTCAACTGAGTAGAGCAATGGTAGAGCACTCAGTGGTAGAGCAAAAGAAGCTCAGGGACAGAATGCAAGCCCCAGGACAGGTCAAAAAAGAAAATGGAGGAGGAGAGAAAAGAAAAGGGAGGATGAGGAGGGGGAATGGGGAGGGGTGAGGAGGAAAGGAGAGGGAGAAGGAGAAGAAGAAAAACATGTGAGTTTTGGGTTCCAGAAGCTCAGCCTTGTTCTGCTTCAGTGGGAGATCCAGGAGGGAAGACGATCTCTTCCCTCTTGGGCAGCAGTAGGATGCTGTCCAGTCCATAGTGC